CCCGCCGCCCACCGGCGGTCTCTGGTTCCAAACCTCTTCCTGGACCCCTCGCCCCGCCTCACCTGTACGTGGTCAGCAACGTCTTGTTGACCAGCACGATAAGGAAGGAGCAGATCCCGTAGAAAAGCGCCGACAGCAGCTTGGTCCGCAGCGAGGGCGGCCGCGCGGAGTGGGGGTCCGCGCCCGCGCTCTCGGCCTGGCCGCCCGCCGTCATGTCCGCAGGCCGAGCGAGCCGGGCAGCGCCCGCCCCACCGCAGTCGGACCGGCTCGGAGCCCCAGGTCCGCCCCGCCCTCGGCCGGCCCGGAAAGAGGGCGCGGCGCGAACCCCAGATCCCAGCGGGCCTCTCGAGAGCGCCCCAGAACTGCCAGGCGCTCAGGATCCGGCGTCCCGTGAGATTACCCTCACATTTCTGGAGCACACCCGTGCCTCCTTCCTTCTGACTCTGAAAGGAGAAAAGAAACTGGGTTTGGCAGAGTAACGCCCGATTTTAGCAGCCTGCTCCCTTAAAAAGAAGCGCCCCCCCCCCCAGTAGTTTTTGCTTTGTTTTCAGGTATAATTTACATACAATATGAAGAACTCACCTTGAAGCATTTTCATGAGCCCTCCCACCATTTCCCGCTGCCCCTTTGTAATTCATTCCCTCATCCCACTACTGTAAATGTGCCTTTTCCAGAATTTCCTTGAAGTGGGATTTTTTTTTTTTAGGATATCATAAAATGTATACTCTTTCAAACCTCTTTTCTCTCATTGTCATATCTTTAAAACTCACCCATGTTGCTTTGCCTTTCAGGGTTTTTGTTCCTTTGATTGTTGGCTACTGTCACAATTTGTTCACTCATTCACTAGTTGACAGACATGCTGTTAAGAAAAATGCTAAGAAAAATGCTGCTATAAACTTTGGTGTATTGTGTGTGCATGTGTACTCATTTCTCATGGGTAAATACTGTACCACCTCTAATCCCACTGCATATAACTGGCTCACACAAATAAGGCACACACTACAGACCAGAGAGGTGTGACTGTTTTCAAAAATGGCTGGCCTTAGGCTAGCCTGTAGTCTCAGGGCTTTTCTTCCCCCACTCCCCTCCCTGAGTGCCCATTTCTGTGCTCCTTGAGTAGCAATTCCACATCCATCTTAATTGAAGGGGAGCCTCCCAGATCTGCCTATACTGGCCAGTTATCCTGCTCTTAACAGTTCTACAAATTACTGCCATGGAGTAAGCTGACTCACAGTGACTCTAGAGCAAGAACTGCCCTTGTGGGAAAGGCAGTTTCAATATTGCAGTTAGCAGCCCAACACCATAACCCTGCACCACCAGGGCTCCTTGCTACAAATTAAGTGTCCCAAATTTTCATTCCAAATAATTAACTGTCTTTAACTGAAATCTTACCTTTATAGAAACGACTGGAATTTTCAAGTTAAAGAGAAATCTGAGCAACAGGGCACCCATGCCTAGGGCAATTGTTCTTTTTGTGGACACTTAACAAGTGACTCAACAATGAAACATTGAGCCCTTACTAGAAAACTTTTGGGAAAATAACAAGGCTAGCAGTCAAGACGAAGCAGCAAGAATCCAAATTACCTAAACCAAGAATGAAAACAAACACACAGAAGGCTATTTTAAAATAGAACATGAATCTATTTGAATTCTTGAATCAACTTAAAGGAAAACTTAAGTAATTTTGGCTAACTCCAGGGAGTCTCTTAATAAAGTTCTGACTGCAAGAGTTTCAAAGCCACTTTCAATGATGCTGTTGTTAGGTGCTATCAAGTTGGTTCCAAATCACAGCAACTCTGTGAACAACAGAATGGACACCACCTGGCCCTGTGGCATCCTCACAAGTGTTCCTATTGTTGCAGCCCCGTGTCAATTCATCTCCTGGAAGAACTTCCTCTATTCCAGTCCCTCCACTTTACCAAGCATGATGTCTGCCCTTCTCCAGGGACTGGACAATATGCCCAAAGTATGTGAGACACAAGTCTTGCCATCCTTGCCTTAGTCACATTTACATTTAATTTGCCTGACCTTATTTAAACCAATTAAGAGTTGCTTGTTAAAATTTTTGCGCAAGTCTATACAGATTGATCCTTGCCATTGTAAGAACACTACTAAAGATCTACCAAGAAGAACATCAGTTTTATCAAATATCTATAGTAGGAAAATTCAGAGAAAGAGAAAGTAGATTAATGATTACCAAGGGCTGGGAAGAGGAACCAGCAAAGAACTAATGGTTAATAGGTACAAAGTTTCTATTGGAGATGATGAAAGTTTTAGAAACAAATGATAATGTGAGTACAATGTTACAAATAATGACACTGAATTAAACACTTTAAAAAGGTTAAATATCACTTTGTCATTTTATCAAAAAAGAAAACAGTTGATGAAAATACCAAAAAACCCACTTTGCTGACTCTTAGAAGGAAAAGGCTGAGTGGATTTTGAGGGAGAACACTCCAAGGTTCAACATGACCAGGCTGTTAGTGAAATGAAATCTCAGTTGCTTGCTACCTTAAGCCCTATGAAAGGACTGGCAATGGCTTAAAACGTACCCACACAAATGAACTTTTAACATTATAATAATGAACCAGATAGGGTAGTTAAATAAATATCTAAATCTGCAAGGATATAATTTTAAAGTAATTCATGCTGTGGTTGTGATACACAGAAAAGAGGTCTGTGATAATACTAGAAGACAAAATGCACCAAAGAATGATGGGGAATTGTAGGGCTGCAGGTGACTTTTCTGCTTCTTAAGTAAAAAATAAGTTTATATAGTTGATAGAAAACAAACTATGAAAGCTACAAGAATGATGATGCACTTTAATCTTTAAATTAAAATAAAATTTTATTCAAACATCTCTTGAAATTACAGCATGTTTATGCTTATGCTGTTAACGCTGCCAAATTACAATTTAGCCATGAAGCATAAAACACTTCAAATTTTTTAATTATAAAACCACATTTTTAAAACAAAAAGCAGTCATTAATACATTTCAAATTTTAGATTTCAGTGTACTTTGTCCAAGTATATTGCTTATGTAAAAAAAGAACATCCTAAATAGTTCTAGAGTGAATAGTTGTGATAATTTCATAAACTGCTCCAAATATGCAAAATATATTTTATATGCTTGAAAACATTAACTTATGACTGACAAAATCTGGAGAAACAAGGAAAATCCTTACTTTTGAAGGCCTTAAATTTTCTTATCTGTGAATTAGCAAGTGTTTGTAAAATTCTCACTTCCCTTCCTTCTTTTAGGTAAATTTATCAAACTTTCAGGATCCCAAGACTAATGAGTCTTTTTTTTTCTCTTCTTCTTCGTTTTATCATTTAAATGGTATTTGAGGGAAAATTCTAGAGGAAATATTGAAACCTAAACAAAAATAGCAGATGTTATAGTCTCTCTTCCCATGTTTATAAGTGCTCCAAGTTAAAATTCTACATACCAGAATACAAACAAAATCCTTTTACCATTACAAATATAAATTCTTATTACACACAAAAATAAAATAAAATCCCTCGAGGTTTGCAATTTACTGTACAGAGGAGTTACATTTTTAAAGTATGTCCTCTTCATACACATCATTTGTTATTGTATCTTCTTTCACTACTTTTCAAGGCATTTACATACCTTCCCTTCCCCATGGCTATATAGTGAAACTACCTATGTACTGTAACACATTAAGGTTCTTTTTGTGAAGAAGCCTACATTCTAAATAATGTTTAAGTTACATCTGAAGATACTTCAATTCAAAAAGGAAAAGACACTGAAGCGCCCATGTTTCCCTCTATTATTCCGAGATTTACTCCAAGTTAGCAATCTATAAATTACCATGCTAGGCATGGATATTTAGGTTCTGCTTAAAACAAAAAGCTAACATGCTCGAGGCTTACATCTATATAAAGGAAGTTGACTGCTCAGCTCTGTGATTTTTCTGCTCATGCTTCAGTACATATGTAAAAAGTGATGTTTAATAACTTAATCTATTTGGGGAAATGGTTTATAACCACGACAAGTTGACACACTTGCAGTTTAAAAACTAATCTAGAAGCCTACTTTATTTAGTAGTTAATATTTTCTGCAGTGTTCAATAGATAAATTTTGTGAACACAAAATAGTTTTGTATGTTATTCTGAAAGCAAGGTGGCTTTTGCACTGAAATATAAATATGGAGGCTTCCACTTGCTGAGAATTCTAAACAAGCGATACAATTACAATTTAGTGTTTGCTAACAAAAGATCTAGAAACAATTCATTACAAAACAACCCTGTAGATGTCCCACTTATTAAGAAAAATCCAAGTGCCAAATCTCATTACAGGGCCCACAATACATGCTTTAAAAATGGCCAATTACCATGTTACCTAGACTTTGCAAGATTAATCACTCAATTTCCGCAAATGAGAAATATAAAATGTGCAAAAGTTCCCAAGTTAACATACTATGACAAGTGATTTTCAAATCTAAATGTAAGAGCATAAGAAAGCTCCCTAAAGATAGAATAAAGCTGATTTTATTCAAATTGTGAAAATTCTGAGCAAGTGTCCATCTTACCAAAATCCTTCTTGAACATGTTCTAAAATAGCTTCCATTCTGTAGCCTCACTGGGCAATTTAAAAACATGTATATTCCATACACAGCTTATGTTTTCTTGTTGGCGTCAGTGTTTACAGTATTGTTAAACATACTAATATGCATTGTTAAAAAATGATCTTATAACCTATTTCAGATTCTTTGGCTCTGTGTACCATTCTGTTTTGTCATACAAGTGTTTTATTCAGAAAGTGCTTTCTGTGAGAACTGCTTCCAATGAATGCATTAAACTTGCAAAATCTAGCTTCCCACAATAGATTTCTACCCTGTACTGTGCAGACCCATATTTACAAAATATTTTAAACTTTACATCAAATCCATTTCCATATTTTTAAAAAAAGTGCAATTCTCTCTCACCCCATATTTCAGGGCAATGACATTCTTCATAAATTTCTACAGAATAGCAGCCTATGATAAGCAAATAAGGTGCTTAGCTTATGCCCAAGGATCTACTTTTAAAGTACAACGGGCAGTACTTTTGTACAGTGGAGGAGGCAGTATGCCAGCTACTGGCGGAGTGGTGCTCCTGTCAGGTTGGCAAGCTCAATGAGGGCCAGGGCTCCGTGCAGGCGCTCTCGCTGCTCCTGCAGCCTGCGCTGCGCCCCACTCTTCTCCTTGTCCTCCTCCTCCTCCTCATCGGACTGAAGATACTCCAGAGGGTCCTGCTGTTCCTGGTCAGCTTTCTGAGCAAGCTTGCCTTTCAAGGTTGGCGTCCGCTGCTCTCTCGTTTCCCAATACCTATATGAAATATATATGAATTAGTCATAGAATATACACTAGATTCTCAAATGTTTACTTATCTCAACAAAAAGTCTCTACCACAGTATTATGTTATGTATTAGTTTACAGTACTATAAAGCGATTTTACATGCATCGCATATACTTCCCATTTATAGAAGGAAAAAAAAAATGAAGTTCAAAATGTTGAGGGACCTTCTCTGTGTCCCATAATCCAAACTGACAATGATGGGGCTCACATGCAAGTTTCTAATCATGGCCTTTTTGCCATTAAACTATAGTGGCCTTGAAAATAATTTATAAAATGGAAGAGTAAAATACAAGAGTAGGGTGTATGGAGAGGGTGGGGGAGTTATACACTACCATTACATAGCACATGTTCAACTCTTTAAGTAACAAAGAAATGCAAACTTAAGTCACATAAATACGATGCCATTGTTAAAGTCCACAAGAAGATTTGTGCATGCTGTTGTGGTTAACTGCCATCAAATCAGTTGTGACTCATAGCAACCCTATCTACAACAAAAGGAAACACCACTCGTCCTGCGCTGTCCTGAGAATTATTGATGTGTTGGAGTCCATTTGAGCCACTGTGTCAATCCACCATGTCAAGGGCCTTCCTCATTCTCACTTGTAGATTGTTAGCTTTATTCTTAACAGTTAAATGCAATAAATGTCCATCTACTGGTGAATGAATCAACAAGATTAGATGCCTCTATGAGTTAGAATCAACTCAATGGCTGAGTTTCCGGTATTTATACCATGGAATATTACTCAACAATAAATAGGAATCAATTGTTGATACACACAACACAAACGAATCTCAAAGAAATTATGTTGAATGAAAAAAGCCAAAGAAATAGGAATATATTCTGTATAAAACTCTGAAAAAGGCAAACTAATTTTTGGAGGAATTCAGTAGATTAATGGTTCTTT